CTAGGGCCTTTAACCTGAGGACTCTGATGCAGGGAAGTCAACAAGCTTATCTGGCGCGTATAATGGAATCATTAGAGATCGATATTTGCTGCGTGTCGGAGATTCGAATCCGGGATCCTGCTACTATAAGCTACTTGCGTGCTCCTGTTTTGTCTTCGAGATACGTTCTTCGCATGTCAGGCGACGATGAAGCTCTTTCAGTAGGTCAGCGCAGGGAGGTATTGTACTTAGTAACAAGGTGGAGTCCTCTTTTATCGATTGGATCCCCGTCAACAGTCGTTTATATGCAGTGCGTCTGCAGAGTTCAATCAGCGTCCGGAAGGGAAGCGACACCAAAAGGTATTTGTTCGTCTTATCGGCATACGCACCGACCAACTACTGTTCTGATATCCAAAAGGACGCTTTCTACGATGAACTCACCAATCTCATGCGGCTGAGTTTTACTTGTAGGTGAATTTAACGCGCAAGTTGGAAAACGGATCGCATCAGAAGCTTGCCTAAGTGGTAGTTGTGCTCTGCCCCGCCAACGAGCAGATAACGGTGGTCGACTTCTTCTGTTCTATGCAGATCATCATCTGTTCTTATCTAGCACCAACTTCCGACGTGGCTCTCGACGGACGGCAACGTGGCTCTCCAGTTCAACTGGTTCGCTAACCCAAATCGACCACGTAGCAGTAAGTTACCGTTGGCGTGGCTCAGTGCAAAATTGCAGGTCCTATTGGACCACCTGCGTTGAGCCAGACCACGTATTAGTTTCGGTACAGTTCACTCTTCGATTGACTGGCCGGCGATGAATTCAGCTAACTCGGTTAGCTATTCATCGACTGTCTGTTCCAGAAGTTCGTGTACACTATGAATTAGAGCTAGTGCATGGGCTAAGCGTGCCTCAAACTGATGATGTAGATGAGCAATGGGATCAGATTAGGAGAGCAATGCATTCCACAACGAATGTTGTTTGTGGGTCTAAGCTTCAATCCCGTCGGAGGCATTGGACATCTCAGGAGTCAGTAGCCCTGATGGATAAAAAACGACAAATCTCGACCTGCCAGGATCAAAATAGAGTTAGGCGGCAGCTACAACGTCGGCTCACGAAGAGCCTCAAGAAGGACCGTGAGAACTGGTGGGCAACAGTAGCTAGTGAAATGGAAGTAGCAGCTGCACCAGGGAATGGCCAAATACTGTTCCGACTGATACGCAATACGGGAGGTCGGCGAACTCCAGTCAGTGAAACAGTCTGCGATAAGAGGGGACGAGCTATTCACAATAGGAATCAACGACTCGATCGCTGGGCAGAATACTTCAGCGAACCGTTTAGCTGGCCTAGTAC